AGAGGTGTCCTCTAACCAGAGACCAACTAATTGGCTAAAAATGGTAATACACCAATACCTCGCTTTGCGTCGTTTCGTTTTGCGTTTTTTTCGAAGTTGCGTCACTGCTTAATTTTTACTGATTTTCACTGTGCGTCGTTAGATTTTCGAAGTTGCGTTGTTTTGGATTCGAGTCTTTAATTTTTTTTCCTAAAATATGGCAACACCTTTATTTTTGATTGCGCCTTCACATATTTTCACTTTTACATCGTTTCAATTTGCGTCGTGTTTTTTTGGAACGTAACCCCGACGCAAAGCTAGGAGGTATGGATGTATTAGTGATGAAAATTGTCTTTTGTTGAGAGAGGTGTCCTTTAGTGGGAGTGTCACTGAGTTTCTACTGTATCAGATGTTTCTATTTTACCACACACAAAGTTGTTTACACATATTCTGTATTTTCAAATGTAAATAGCATATAAACACAGATAGCTATTTATTCATATATTCTCTCCACTGAAAATATACATGAAGCAAATTCTTATTAATGAAAAATAACTATTTTTTTGTCATAAAAATATAAAGAATTAAACCAAATGTTTTGTCTGTTAAAAGTTTTCAAATTAAAGATTTCCCGAGAGGTAAATTGCAGTTTATTATGACTTTCTCATGTTTTGGATATCTATTTTAAAATGGGAGATTTAGTTTCACAAAGAATATTTTTCTATACCCCTGCGCGGCACATAATTTTACAGGGAGGTATTTGTGATATCAAGGGGCAGATAACCAAACTGGCCAAACTGTGTCCAGGCATCATGGCCATCTTGTTCAATGGCGTAGTCATGTCCCACTACACCCACTTCAACCTCTCCCCTGTCACCCAGATCACCATGCAACAGACCCTACGTACCCTGGCCTTCATTGCTGGTAACCCTTTCACCCATGTACTTTTTCTTCAAATATTAAGTCTCTGGTATGACTGACAAAGTAATTTTCCAAGATCCTAGTTAGTGATTGATGGGGCATTGTAAGCTTTTAATTTTTTTTTTTTTTTTGCTTATCCCTAGTACCCGTGGTACAGGCCATGATAATCATGGTGGGTAGTTAGCGACTGCTTTTTACTGTAAGCGCACCACATGTCTACACATGTGAAAGCAGTTCGACTTTGCACTTACAAATGTGCCAGAGCCCCGTTTGGTTACTTGCACTCGGTGGTGGGGTTGGACTTTTGCAAGAATCGGGGGGCCATTGGAGCATTTTTTTTTTTTTTTAACAGAAAAAAGTGTCCAATGCGGGGATTGAACCCGGGTCGTAGTGGTCGTAAACCAAACGGTTTAACCAGCCTTCCACCGACCCCCCGTAAGCTTTTAATAAATCTCATCACCCAATCATGATGGTTGTCATGCTTTACAAGCTTGATACCTTGATATGATTAAGTGAAGATAAGAAAGAAGAAGAATAAATCTCTAGGCACAAAATACTTAATAATCACCATGTAGTGCCATATAGAGGTAGGTCTTCAAGAAATACCATTTTAACCCTGTTCTAAGACACATTCTCTCCACCTATCAATATCTTCCAACTCCAGACCATTCTATTAAATTATCAAACATCAATCTTTCCTTGGTCTACCTCTTTCTTCAATATCTCCAGGATGTATGACCAATAAGACAACAACCTCCTGAATTTCTTAAGAGTACATGGATACACATTCAATAATTTATCTAAAGAACACAATAATGCTTTTACTGAAATGTCACATAGAAATTACTTTTTTTGGATTATTATTTTTTTTTATTATTATCCCTAGTACATGAGGTACAGGCCATAATAATTATGGTGAGTAGAAAGTGCACTACATGTCTATATATTTTATGTTAATGTCTATATATGTGAAAATCAGTTAGACATTTGCACTTACAAGTGTGCCAGAGCCCCGTTTGGTTACTTTCACTTGCTGATGGGATTGGACATTTGCAATAATTGGGGGGCCATTGGAGCATTTTTTTTTTTTAAATTGGGAATGGGTTAAAGCAGTCGAAAACCAACAGTTTAGACCACTTGTTCACTGACTCCTTAACTATAATATAAACTCTAATTCAACCTCCAATAAGAGACTGCATCCAAGAGTATATCCATATTTTATTAGTTTTTATGGAAGGTTGTCCTGTGTGTACCCATTCATTGGTAATTGGATCAAGTCATTATAATATATGACAGAGGTTTGTCACTTGTTAGAGTTGTTACTGTGTAGTCACCATTGTTAAGAGAACTATGTCCTAAGAAGGTTGTGAACCCCTATGACATGTATGACAGTAGCCATGTAGACATCTTAATCAGGGTGGGTGTTGTAGAGGCAATGGTGTTTGCCTACCTGGGACTGGCCATCTTCAGTTTCAAGTTGATCATCCACCCTCCACTCATCATCTGGAGTATTGTAAGTTCTCTTCATTATGCCATCATAGATACTTTGAAAACTTCTCTTTTATATGTCTTACTTTGAAAATAGAACAATTCATACTTAAATCTTTAGGTATTAAAATATTGGATTGAATAAAAGATGTATTTGCCTACTCAATCTACTATATGCCTTTTTATTTACCTAAAAATATATTTATATAAAAAATGACGTACCTGTATCTGTGAAAGAAAAAAAAATGTTCTCAAAATATTTTGAGGGATGGCTCCCACTTTATCATTTTATTGCACAATTTGTTTTGTCTTCCACATATCCAGGTACATCCTTTTTTATATAAATATATTCATTGGATCGCCTTTTGACTCAAAATTAAAAATATACGTCTTAATAAATGGAACTCAATATGAAATCTAGAATTATCAGTAGTCACCAGTAGTTTTTTTTTTTGCTTATCCCTAGTACACGTGGTACAGGCCATGATAATCATGGTGGGTAGTTAGCGACTGCTTTTTACTGTAAGTGTACCACATGTCTACACATGTGAAAAGCAGTTCGACTTTGTGCTTACAAATGTGCCTGAGCCCCGTTTGGTTACCCGCACTCTCTGGTGGGGTTGGACTTTTGCAAGAATCGGGGGCCATTGGAGCATTTCTTTTTTTAAATCAGAAAAAAAAGTGCCCAATGCAGGAATCGAACCCAGGTCGTAGCGGTCGGATATCAACAGTTTAGACCATCCTTCCACTGACCCCCTTTAATCAACTGTAAAAGTATAGTAGGAGATATAGTATTCATGTAAAAAAAGTAATTTTTCCCTTTTACTAAAAGTATCAAAACAAGTTGTTTATATTTGATCTCTTTAGTGAAGAACGTGCAAATTTAGATCAGTGAGTAAGCCAACTGTTTAACAAATTTAAACAAAAACCAACAACCTGTATTCTATAGTTTCAGGCTCTCAGTACAAGGTCAACTTTGAATATGTAATGTCCTATGTTAGGTGAAGTATTGAAATTGGTCAAATCTACCAGAGCGGTGATCAAGTAGTAAGGCCAATCTGTGGGAGTATTCTTCTTGTGCCAAAAAAATATATAGTTATGTTTAAATGAACTGAATTTGTGCTTTCTGCACAAAGGAAAAAATATAAAAATGCAGTTTTAATACATTCATTGAAAGGTCACACCGAAAAACACCGAGTTACCATTGTGTTGCATGCAAAATTAATGAATAGCTATTGTTAACTACTCTCACAAAATATTATACATGTTTTTAAGAAAATAGAAGATTTATGCTGCTTGGTGGGCCTATGGAAGGGCTAACTCTTTGATTAATGCGAGTAGAGTCAAACACAAGGTAATAAGACCAAATCTAAATAAATAAATAGTGTATGACATTTCGGTAACAGCGTTGTTACCATTTTCAGACAAAAGTACTGAATGAGAAATTTTACCTCAGCATGCTTCAAATAGTTCCTGTTATCAAGTGTGTAAACAAGATAGTAGATAAATAGAAGATAGTTTTCTGTTACCTAAACGTCACACACTATTTATTTATTTGGATTTTGTCTTATTACCTTGTGTTTATAATCTATAATCCAAATTGTGCCTTATCATGTAAGTAGAGTGTATAATAAAGACTCCCTCTCATTGAGTAACAAAAAAAAGTTGTATATTTGTTTATCTATATCTCTATATAGTGGAGCACTAAATCTATCCACTAACCACTACACATCTGTGTGTCCATAGATCCTGTGTCTACTAGGCCGAGCCCTCAACATCTACCCCCTGTCCTTTGTCATCAACTACTTCCGGCAGCACACCATCAGCAAGAAGATGATGTTCATCATGTGGTTCAGTGGTATGTCCCTGATGTGCAGAAAGTGCAAATTCAATAATTTAAATATCTTTCTTTTTGCACAAGAAGAATACTTCCACAGATTGGCCCAACCCCTTATCTGGCATATTCAACTAATTTCATACCTTCTCCTGACATAGGACATTACATATTTGAAGTTGCCCCTGTACTGAGAGATCCATAGCCTGAAACTATGGAATATAGTTGTTGGTGGCTTGGCTTCTTGTGTGTCTAACACCCTTTCTTTCTCTATAAAATGACCACTATTCTCTGAAAACTAGCAACTAATTTATACAGAGGTAAGCCTAGCAAAGCAGAAAATTTTAACTGTGAATATACTTTTCTATTCTGGTCATCTCTCACCAAATCTGTTGTTATCACCAATGGATGGAAGTCTTCCACTGGTGGAACATCCATCAAACTTGGAGTTAAAGTACCATGAAATAACCCTGGTCTCTCCAGATTAAAAATGAGCTATACTAATCAAACCATCACATTCAACTAAAAAGTAAAATACATTCCTCTCCTCACTATAGGTACCGTATGCTGCAAACTCACCTGATCATATTCCTCACTGAATTGAAACAGATAAATTATATATTTTTATATTGTGGCGGGACCACTGAAGAATTATCAATGTAGATATCAAAGAGGTATTGCTGTATTGGGAGGATCTTTTCCAATCTTGATGTTCCGTGTGAGGATCGAACTCATGACCTTCAGATTATGAGACTGACACGCTACCTACTGCGCTAACGAGGCTCTCGAGTGCAGTAGGTAGCGCATCAGTCTCATAATCTGAAGGTCGTGAGTTCGATGTTGTTTTCTACTTGTCAGTGTGCTGTCATCAGGGATGTGATGTCAGGACTCCGGGGAGCTGTGTCCTACGGCCTGGCCCTCCATCTGGAGCTGGAGGAGGAGAAGAGACATGTCCTGGTCACCACCACGCTGATCATTATCCTCTTCACCATCCTGGTGCTGGGCGGCTCCACCATGCCTCTCATGAAAGTAACTATGCACCCATGGAAACCTGATACACACTCTCACTAGAACAACAACATTTTATACAGTAGAACCTCCCTGAGAGGACACTCTCGCTAGAGGATACCTCTCTTGAAAGGACAGTTTTCATTTGCAAAATTACCATTTTTACAATTTAGCAACTCTCCTGTAAGAGGACACCTCTCCCTAAAGGACACTTTGGCTCTGCAATTAGGTGTTCTTTAAAGGGAGGTAGTTCTACTGTACTGGTGTAACCATGTTGATCACACAGTAATTAAACCGTTTGGTTTACGACCACTACGACCCGGGTTCGATCCCCGCATTGGACACTTTTTTCTGTTTAAAAAAAAAAATGCTCCAATGGCCCCCCGATTCTTGCAAAAGTCCAACCCCACCAGCGAGTGCAAGTAACCAAACGGGGCTCTGGCACATTTGTAAGTGCAAAGTCGAACTGCTTTCACATGTGTAGACATGTGGTGCGCTTACAGTAAAAAACGCAGTCACTATCTACCCACCATGATTATCATGGCCTGTACCACGTGTACTAGGGATAAGCAAAAAAAAAACAAACAAAAAAAATAATAATGAATGACATTTCAGTAACAACGCTGTTACCCAAACATCATACACTATTTGGATTTGGTCTTATTACCTTGTGTTTCTAATCTACATTCCAAATTGTTTTCCTTATCAACCTTTGTTATTACAACAGTTAAACACAATTGGGACTTGAGACCTTAGAATTATGTTAGATGGAAATTTTGATGGAAGGATATTTTCTTTTAGAATATGTTATTATAACCCAGTTTCTGTCTGTCATAAAAGAAATGCATTTATAGAGAGATTTCACTGTTGTTTAGTTAGTGTTGGTGTTATTTATCTCAAGTAGCCCCACATGATAATCATATGGTGGGTTGTAAACATCTTTCACAGCAAGTGTTGCCCCCATTCAGTTTGATGTCTCTGTTTCACTGGTCAGATGGCTGCACCACAAAGGATGACCTCAGAACAGCCAACCCCTGTGGAGAGTGGAGTGAGTACAGGTTTTGAACTGTAATTTCTGAAAAGTAAGCCTAATCCAACACACACACCCAGATATTAACATACCAAACTCTTGGACAAGTACAAGGTATAGCCATTAGATTCATAAACACAAGGTAATAAGACCAAATCCAAATAAATAAATAGTGTGTGACGTTTCAGAAGAAGTTACCATCTTCAGACAAAAGTATTGAATGATAAATTTTATCACAGCATGGTTTAAACAGTTACTGTTATCAACCATGCTGTAGTAAAATTTCTCATTCAGCACTTTTGTCTGAAGATGGTAACAACGCTGTTCCTGAAATGTCACACACTATTTATTTATTTGGTCTTATTACCTTGTGTTTATAATCTATAATCCAAATTGTGCCTTATCATTAGATGCATGACAAGCAATCCTAACCTGACATTCAGTGTCATCCCTTTGAGATAAATTCCAATAAAAATTGTACTACCAATAGTAGGATGATATAACTTGCATGTAGCCTGATATAATGGAAACTCCATTTATGGTTTTCTCTTTATTGAAATAATCAGTAGCTTAAAGCAGCCTTTTTTTTTCCATTGAAGACTATTTCAACAGACAAGGCTTATTCCAATGAAAACATTTGTTAATATGCATGGCACATCAGTGGTGAACCCTCCTAGCAGTTTTTTATACCCATGTGAAAAATGTAAGGTGGTGTTTTTCTCTGCAGATGAGCTATGTATGCATGCATTCTATACAAATTTTCTTTTCTCTCTTTTATATTTATATTCATCAATTATTATAGATATTTATTTTATCCATATATTTATCATTATTTAGCATTTTTATTTATAAATATTCAATATTATATTTACCTTATACAGTTAAACCTGTCTATAGAGCCCCCCCTCTAAATAGCGCCTTCCTCTCTATAGCGCCCGATTTTAAATACGTAGTACGATGCGATTTACATAAAAAGTGACCTGTCTATAGCACCCCCTCTCTATAGCACTCTATTTTGATGAGTCCCAAGAGGGGGTGCTATAGACAGGTTTAACTGTATATGGATGTTGTAATAAAATAGTTTCAATCATGCTCTCTCTCATTAAAAAAAAAAAAAGTTTATATTAAAAAAATAAAAAATAAAAAGAATTTACCTTAGGATACCTTCAATATATTTAAACATAGAAACTTTCTCCTTGGGATATAAATACTATAAACTAAAGTGCCGGGAGAAAATGATTTTTTATTAAACGACTACACGAGCTTTCGGGCAGTCACGCCCTTCAACTGGTCAGTGACAGTTGAAGGGCGTGACTGCCCGAAAGCTCGTGTAGTCGTTTAATAAAAAATCATTTTCTCCCGGCACTTTAGTTTATAGTATTTATACCTTCAATATGCTAGATACATGACATATGTGTGTGTGCAGTTCTTGAAGGCAGACAAGAAGAGTTCAAGAAGAGGCCGTAGAAGGAAGAGCCACAAGAATGTTATCTCCCTCAGCAAAACAAGGGAAATGGTCAGTATCCTCTTTTCTTAATGGGGTATTCAATAAATCTCTCAGATTCTCTGGACATGTTTGTAGAACACACATATTGTTTTTCAATTAATATTTCCTTAAAGGCCAATATAAATAAGACTTGGGGTTACTTAAAGTCTGAATCAATATTACAGAGGATATCAGCTTTATATTCAGGAACACATATCCCTACAATCCCTGCTAATTTTTTTACATTTCATAATTAATGAGAAATGTCAGTGTGTGTGTGTGTGTTTACAATAATTTCATTTAAAGATTTGTGATGAATTCCTAAATCATACATAACACTAAAAGGTGTATCTTTCAAGCCTTTTCTGTAACTTGCACAATCCCATGTTTCTAGGGCCAAGCCATAGATGCGGAACACCTCTCAGAGCTGACGGAGGAGGAGTATGAAGTGAACTTCCTCTCCAGTGAGCTCACTGGATTTGTCAAGTTTGATGCCAAGTACCTCATTCCCTTCTTTACTCGAAGGTTTACCCACCAGGTGAGTCTTTAACCTAACCTAAGTGGAACATCTAGTGTGGCCTCAGAACAGGAAATGTTATCTTCCTTTGAAGGAACTTACATTCTCTAAATCTTCCTAGCAGCTGGGAGTTAACAGGATCTGGCAACATATGGTTGATGAGGCAGGAAGTCCACAGGAATTAAAAGAAGCGAGAACTTTATTGGGTTCTATGAAGGAGAGGATGGGTTTGAATCCAGCTGGGACCACTCCATGAAGCCTCACTGCTTTAGGTTAGAAATGTCTAAAGCCTTAGTAATCCACAGTCACAGGCAAAATTTAAGGCAAACCTCGGTTGACATTCTTTAGTTGCAGCTGCAGTCCAGCCATTTCATTATCTAGAGATAACCTCCAACAAATGACTAATCATAGCTTTTTTTTCCCATTGTGTTATCTTGGTTAACTTTGGTACATGATAAAAAATGTTCACCTTTGACCCTGGTGCAGGAAATGAGGGATGGCAAGTCCCAGATGAACGACCTCACCAACAAGTGGTACCAGGCCATCCGAGGTCCTTCGGACTCTGAGGATGAGGAGAGTGAGATGAATGCTGGCAGCTGATGGGCCACCGGGTGAGTCCCTTCCTCCCACTCTGGACTCCTCTCAGTCTTCTATATAACTAAATCCCCATATTTATATTTGTATTTTTTCACTTCATTTTGGATTAGCCTGTTTATACATGCTTTTAGCCCTTTGTTGTTGTTGTTTCTTATCCCCTTGTGTAAAGATTACACGAATTCCATGATCTCATGGAATGGGGGTATAGGGGTGCAGCTTTCGTTGATCATGGCACCATGATCCAGGCACATTTTGGTGAAAGTCTGACTTTGCCTGTAGTTTGAGGCCGTTCCTAGGAAGCCTTTGCTGCCGACTCTAACATAAGTACAGACACAGCTCCTCCGTATTCCTGAAGTACCCAGTCAGTTGAACTCAGGATTTTTAGCCCTTTTAAATGAATATACAATTGAACCTTCATGAGAGGACACTTTTCTACAAAGGACAGTTTTCATTTGCAAAATTACCATTTTTACTATTTAGCAACTCTCCTGTAAGAGGACACCTCTCCCTAAAGGACACTTTGGCTCTGCAATTAGATGTTGTCCTTTACAGGGAGGTTCTATTGTATTATCTCTCATATTTAGAATTTAATTTCAAGTTGTAAAAATATTTAAAAAGATTGAAATGTGACAACACACATTTAGAGGACCTATCTGAGGAAGCAAAAGTTGATCCTAATTATGAATTGACACAATTTACCAAATATATATGCAGTAGAATCCCCTATGAGAGACCAGAGCCTAAAAGCTTTGTCTTTCTTTGAGATGGTCTCGGAGGCTCTCTCATGTCAGACCAAGTCGTGAGGAGTCTTTCCACACAAACAGAGTCTCTGATTAGAGACCTCCTCCAGGAGAAACTATGTTTAACCCTATTTCTTGGGCTTTAGTCTCTCATGGGGACTATTGTACCATGGACTGACATGGGGACTATTGTACCCTGGACTGACATGGGGACTATTGTACCATGGACTGACATGGGGACTATTGTACCCTGGACTGACATGGGGACTATTGTACCCTGGACTGACATGGGGACTATTGTACCCTGGACTGACATGGGGACTATTGTACCATGGACTGACATGGGGACTATTGTACCCTGGACTGACATGGGGACTATTGTACCCTGGACTGACATGGGGACTATTGTACCCTGGACTGACATGGGGACTATTGTACCATGGACTGACATGGGGACTATTGTACCCTGGACTGACATGGGGACTATTGT